CAGTTTTTGCTTGAACTTCGACTGCGACTGTTAAACCAACGACTGCCTGCAGCTCTGCGCATTTTGTCGGCAATCAGTTTTTGCTTGAGCTTCGACTGCGACTGTCGTCTTGTTTCATAAGCGTAAGCACAAGCAATAAGTAAATTTTGAACAGTTACAATAAGTCGAAGCAGTGAGAAGCGAAAATTTTATTACTTTTGCTACTTCGACTTAAGTTTTTTAAACACTGGTTTTAACGGCTAGGTTATTAGCATTCAGAATGAATCCAACAATTTTATTTTGGGGCCGTTTTTTATGAAAAATGTTGTAGAAAAGCAACAATAATTTACAAAGGTAAGAAGTTATAGCTGCTATTTGGGAGATCACCACATCTACTAATCAGACTTTTTCAACCGCGGTCACTGAGGAGATTGGTGATCTCCGAAATAGCAGCTATAACGTCTACCTTTTGTAAATTATTGTTGATTTTCAATAACATTTTTCATAAAAAATGGCCTCAAACTCAATAAAATTGTTAAATAAAATTGTTATAAGGCCATAAATAACAAAACAAAATAAATCTGAATGAATAATAAATTTAAGGTCAGTCAAACATACCGAATGAAAGTCGGAGAGTCTCCTTAAAGTCGATATTTAAAACATCGGCAAAACTTCCATCGATGTATCGTCAATTTCGCGATTGTAAACATCGATGGCAAACATCGAAAATTGATCTGATATTATCGATGTTTCAAAAACATCGTTTGCATCCCTATTGGCGATCCGTTCACCCCCTAAAGTGTGCGGAAGAAACTTAGGTCAAGGAAAGTACGTTTTCGGCTGTTTTTATGTAAAAATTTTTCTTTGAAAACATTTTTATTCTGAACTTCACTGATGCTTTTTCATATTTACTGAAAACAAAACCAAAAGCAAACATTACATTCAGCAATTATTTAAATTTTTAAAAATACTTTTTAATATGTTACGTCTGACAACATTCGGGCCAGTGGTATTCAGAAATCTTACAAATAATAGCACACTCCCCTGCAGACTCAGCTACTGCCAGATACGTATGCATTAGGAATGTTAATCCCGCCATCCCGGCCTTTTTCAGGTTCCAAAAACAGATTCAATTTTTTGGTGCATAAGGACTGGCAAGTATTGAAAATGTCCTTTTAAAATTTTATCCTTGAAATTTCGAAATATTTGTTTTTGAAAAAATTATATATTAAGGACTGATGTAAACTCGACAACATCGTCGAATTTCATCCTTCTAACCTTAAAAAATTACCTATTCGTCCTTGTGAATCAAAAAAAATTTAATTACTTTCATATTTTTATTGAGCTTTGTACCACAATTGTTTATTAGGGTAAATTGAAAAAAGCAACAAAGTCTAAGCGGTAGAAGTTATAGCAGCTATTTCGGAGAACACCGCATCTCCTCATCAGACTTCTTTTTTCTAGACTTCAGCAGGGATCGAACCTGCGTAATCTATGTCCAAAGTCAGAAGCGTTAGCCATTGAGCTATGTACACCCCGTAAACTCTTGTTGCTAATTCATTTTCGTTATTCAACCAACTACTATCAAGTGCAGCTGATTTGCCGCTATTTAAACTTGACAGCGTGGTTATTGTTGTCAATTCTATACAACCATTTGCTTATTTGCTCTATTGTATAGTTCCAGGCAGACTCTTCCTAAACATTGAAAAATACTTAGTTTAGGAAGAGCTATGTACACCCCGTTGCTTTTTCAATTTTTCGTAATAAACCATATTAAAAGTAAAATGTTAATCAGCCACAATAACATTGACAAATACATAGTTTAGGAAGAGCCTGCCTGAAACTATACAATAAAGCAAATAAGCAAATGGATGTATAGAACCACGCTGTCAAGTTTAAACAGCGGCAAATCAGCTGCACTTGATAGTAGTTGGTTGAATAAGGAAAATGAATTAGCAACAGGAGTTTACGGGGTGTACATAGCTCAGTGATTAACGCTTCTGACTTTGCACATCGATTACGCAGGTTCGATTCCTGCTGAAGTCTAGAAACAAGAAGCCTGATGAGGAGATGTGGTGATCTCCGACATAGCTGCTTTAACTTCTACCGCTTTGACTTTGTTGCTTTTTAAATTTTTCCTAATAAACAAACGCGCTACAAACCTCAATAAAAATATTAAAAATAAAATGTTAATCAGCCCCAATACCATTGACAAATTTAATTACTTTAAATTCTAATGAAATTTCCTGTTCACTTTGGTACCCATATTTTTATTCTACATCACATTGAATTTTTTTAATAATTTTTGGAATTATTCCTATCTTTGAAACTACAACTCCTTTAAAATAAATCCTGACCTCAGAGAGAAAAAATAAAAACGCCTCTTTAAATAAAAAATTAGGTTTCAAACCCATTTATTTATGACTTATTTTATGGTAGGAGAGCTTCTCAAACAATATAGACGAAATTTTCTCGATTTAAGTTGTTGGAAAGTAATGAATATCTAAACCCCGGGACTAATTCCGGAATCCCGGGATTGTGATAACGTCATCCCGAAAATCCCGGGATCGTAAAAATTTAAAAAATTAGCATCCCTGATATACATACATGTTGTCAAATGCTTAGTTTAAACAGTTGAACAGCTTCGGATGCGAAAAATTAACGAAAATTTGTGAAGTCTTTTGTACGTTTCTGAATGCAACAAATGTAGCGCAGTGTCGGCTAAACGTACGTTTCTCCGCTGGCTAGGCTACTGCTGAAAAGCAACTGCTTTGGCTTGATTTGTCAAAGTATACGATGAAGCTTATAATGCATGTGTGAAGAATTCGCTGCAAACAATCCATTTACACCACCACTGAATAAATAATATGTATTATGTATGCAAAAAGTTGAATATAGCAATTACACAAGTAATAAAGCAAATTTCGCGAAAAAGGTTTTTCGAGCTCATCAAAATGTTCGTACCGCTCTCAAAATGAATATGTAACTCATTTCTAAATCTTTTATGCCCGTTAAATCGGTATAGACTAATTATAACTCTGCCTTTGTACACATTCTTGTATATCGCAGGGTAACCAATCACTTATGGAGCTTATTAAACAACGCCGTCGGTCTTCTGTTCGAAACCTTATGACCAAAGAGCCAATCCAAAATGAAAGCTTTTTGGGTGTTGTTTTGAAGCCCGTAATAAAAGACCCAAAAGATGAAGAAGGTCCTCAGCAAGCCAAACAATTGTTAAAGGTAACTGAAAATCGAGGCTTTCGTCAATTTCTTCAATTTATTTTGCTACAATTCTTCTGTCAGCATTTCTACCTTAAAAGTTTCGGCGTCTATTATGTCTTTCTCTTACTTACTTATGTGAACTTTTTGCTCAATTAGCGCTTTTAAGCTTTCAGCATCTTACTCTCTCGCTATCTCTAATACACCAAACTGCTCTCTTTCTTCTGATGTTTCCTAATCTATCAGCTTCGAGTTTCAATATCGACCTAAACCGATTATGAACTGTTTTTCGGCTCTTTTACTTTTTTTCTCGAATATCTAACTGGATTACGCTTTTATTTAAGCTTTATCACCTTTTTTAACGACTTTTTCTCTCGTGCAATTTCGGCTGGCGGCTTCTCTCTTGCCGACTTCTGTCCCGTATTTATTGTATTATTCTAAACGAACAACGACGGCGATCGTTGTTGTTTCTTTGTATTGCGAATACTTTTACACATGAAATCCATTTTAAGGAAACGGCGAAAGAAGGCAAGATGATGTTAGCTTCTGATAAAGCTAAAGCTTATGCTCTGAAAAAACCCGAAGGGTACCCAACAATCGAGGATAACTATGAGCGCCCAGAACTAGAGAAATATGAAAAAACTGACTTTGAAAAAGGTAAAAAGGAAAAGCCCGAAGCAAAAACTGAATCGAAAAAAGTTATACCAGCAGTTCGTACACCTGCTGAAGAGCCAGCAAAGGTAAGCCTATTTTTTATCTTTTGATTTCTCGATAGGTGACCCAAAGCTAAATACAAATTTGCTATTTTATACTATTGGTAATACTTATTTATAAGGTATGTTTCGTAAATGCAATCCTTTATTCCTCCCTCTGCAGTGATTTCGTTCCATAACTAAAGCACAAATGCGCTTTAAGTGAAAATTTTCCTACTATTTGTGCCGTAACTAAAATTTTTGGGTAATAATGGGGAAGTGGGAGTTAGAAGACGTAGAATTAAAACAGTTTCGAAACCAAAACATTTCGGAGAAGGTAAAGGTTAGACTTAACAAATGTAGAGTTATAGGATATGTTTCCAAACGCTCACCGCGTAGCCGTTCATTGTGTGGCCGCGGCCTAATTCAATTTTTATGGCAATATAAGAATAGTTTAATTGACGTGCTATAGTTACGAAACATACCATATGTATGGTGCATTATCCGGAGTGTGGTGTAAGAAATTCAGAACAAACCAAGAAAAAAAATACAAATATTCCGACGAATTGATAACCTTTCTCATTTTTTGAAGTCGGTTAAAAAAGCCTGAGAGCATTGCTTAATTATTGTTTTTTTTATTTCATCGGATGCTGTTTGTAGTTAGGGGTGAAACGATTCCTTACTTGGGAGAAGTATAGAAAGAAATTATCGATACCCCAAATATATCGGATCTAAAGTATCGATGCCTATTTGTGTTATAATTTCGGCTATGAAGGTATTCCGCATTAACTGAGCTAAATTGAATTTTTTGAGCAATAAGTTAATTATCCTCCGGGAATCCTTAAGCTTGGTATCCAGCTACCAAGAAAAACAAAAACTCGATATAAAACACGCTCAAGAAGAAATTTTCTTGTGTTAGATTTTCTTAAGGCCAGTGTTGCCGAAAACTTTCGCTGAACATTTTTCATTTATTCACTTTTTTAACAATGAACAATTAAGGACAGTTCTGTTTTCGTCTATGCCGAAAGCTTCATACCTTTAATAATAATCAGATAAAAACAAAACAAGCTTTCATATTCACTTCATATATAGATAGAGTTATATAAAAAATGCATATCTGAATAATCAGTGGTATGGAAGATATGCCTTACAAAGCACCGATCTAAGTGATTTTCACTACTGTCTGTGATTGATTGGCGATTTTCTCAGCAGACTATATGATTATTTAGAAACTAGCTCACGAAATTTCTCGGTTTTAGCCGTCCAAATGAAGGAGTTTTACAGTAAAGCCCCATATTTGAACAATCAGTTGTATGGATCCGATATTTGTAATTTTCACTGTAAGCCTTTTGTTGACAATGAGTGAAAATACTGCGAAATTTAATGTTCCTAGCTGCATAAGTGCAGGAGTTTTAACCCAAAGTCTGAAGAATCAGTTCTATCGGAGCTATATGTTACAGCGGTCCGATTTTGCAGGTTCCAACAAATGGTTAATTCATTATTAAAATGCACCTGCTTACCAAATTTCAGTAGGATATCTCGAAAACTGAGGGATTAGATTGCGTCCAAACAGACAGACATGTATACATTTGGTACTTACTTATATGGGACCAATGTTATACAGGCCTATCACAGAACCCGAGTGAACTACCGTCAGAAAAAAGTCTCTCGTCACGAATTCGGGACAAATGCTATCAGCAATTCCGACGCATTCATAGTCAGTGCTGCCTTTGGTTTTTGTTTGTTTTTATGTTTTGGTTTAGTAATTCTAAATCAAAATAAAATAACTCGAAATCAGCGATACCATTCTCATGAATTTCAAATTTGCGGGAGAATTTCGTGATCATGACGGAATTCGTGATAGCAACGTGACAACGTCGAGATCTCCGACGGAATTGATGATAGGCCTGTTAATACCATTTTATGTTCACAAAAGGCATAAAAATACAAACAAAATTAAAAGATATACATATATAAATTTTAAGTATTTAATGATATGACTAAGCCCATAGACCTGGTAGCTTGTGCTTATATGAAGTTGTATTGTAATTTTAATTACAAATAACAATAAGATAATACTAATAATAATAATAATACAAACCAAATTACTTAAACTACATATGTACAGTAAATATGCCCCACATTACAAAACCAAAGGGAACCCACATTGCTTGTGGGCTAGTAAAAGTTGCTTTGTAACTGTTGACAACAATTTAAAATTATAATTAAAAACACAACTGTTTTAAAGCTAAGTGTACACTTTAGAGAAAATCGCGATATTTAGACAAAAATCTCGCTAGAAACGTGAAAACACTCAATAGAGTTCTACGAGAGACTCATCTACAAAGTCTACGTGAGAGTTATTTAGCGAGACTTTTTCGCCGTGTACACAGTCTTATGCACATTTTAAACGAGGCCATTTTCATTTTAAAAATGAAAAATTTTAAAACAAAGCAAAATATTTTTAAATTGAAAATATCATTTTTAGAATAAAAATGTATTTCAGATTTTAAAATGTTTCATATTTGATTTAAAAATGCTGCATTTTGAATTTTAATACGCACATATTTGTTTTAAAAATGTCGTGAGTTTACAACTCTCAATACTTAAATCAAAAATGAAAAGCTTCACTTCCAATAAAAACGTCTTCATTTTAAACTTGCTCATAATTAAATGTATGGCCACGCTCATGCATCTGTAAGAAGAAGCAGTTGGTTGAGTTTAGTTATTCTTGTTTGCTGTCGGTTCGGACCGGAAAAGTAATTTCGTGTATTTCCTTTGATATTTTGTGAACAAAATGCATAACTCACCAGTTGTTGATAATGACGATGAGAAGATGGTCGAGCTGCTAAAAGAATTCGAAATGTAGAATGTTTTGCCATTCATAAAGGGTGAGAAATGACTTAATAAATGAATATTTTAATCAAGTTAATTAATTCTCTATTTTTATATCCGACCGCGATCTGCGGCTTCCACTGAAGAGCTAGTTTTTTTAGAAGAGCTGATGAAATCGCATCACTCTATTCATATTAGGCTTTTTGGGACATTAAAACCTAAACATCATTTCCTTGTGCACTACGCCATAGCTAAATATTAAAAACTGCGGACCTCTTAAATACATTTGGAGCATGCGTTTTGAAGCGAAGCATAAAGAGGCTAAAGTACATTTTAACAGCATAACATCGAGAATTAAACCTCCATATACCTTAGAAATAAAGTCCAGCTTGAAATTTTCAAAATTTTTGTTAGATAACGAAAAATCATTTCAATCAATTATTATATATAAAAATTACGAAATTTTAGATTTGACGAAAGAAGAATATTTTCCAAAAATAAGTAAAAATCAACCCCTAAATTTTAAAACTTGAATTTTTTTAACAGAAGTGCATTATAAAGGCACTTATTACAAAAGCAATTAATATTTATGTTGTAATAATCTTGAATTGTTTAAAATTAAATCGTTTTTGTATCAAAATAATAATGTTTACGTTATATGCTATCCTATAGGTGTTACAAGCTTTGACCAAAATTTTCATTCCTATGAAGTTGGCTTGAAATTAGACGTGTTGAATGTTATAAACATTTCTAAGTTTACAAGTCAACTGTTGCATTTATATAAAACATACGCAAAACCAAAATCTCTGTAAATATGGTATTTATCATGTATTTATTTTGCAACAAAATAATAGACACGCGGCATTTTGATCAGTTTTGACTATTCTGTTGTTTGACTAATATAAATTTATTTTTTATAAAGGCTCATTCATAACAAAAACCATATAAATCCGAATTTAAACTTTATACAAAAATTAGGAAAATTCAACAAAAACTCATCAAAATTTTCAACTTTTTAATAAGAGTTGCTAGAAAGACTTTTAGTATGCTAAATTTTAATACAATATATGCTGCTGCTTTAAATGGCTTTTGCTATATGATTAGCTATAACTTTATAATAAATAAATGAATACAAGCGGGGCCATGCGCAGACTGCGAAATACACAGTAAACTCATCCCTCATTGTAGCCACAGATAAAAGCAGACTGTTCTAATAGTTTGCGGAAATAGTAAACAGAATTATTCTTATAAATCCCTTATTTTTATTATACATATATTACAAAGCATGAATGAGATTTATAGTACATCAGAACTTATACTTATTAATAATAATAATAATAATAGATTGGCGCTTACACATAAGTTAGTGTTTGGCCGAGCTTCTCCTCCGATTTGTGGCGTGCGCCTTGATTTTGTCACACAAAGCGGAGGGACCTACAGTTTTACGCCGTCACTGCAGTCACAATAGTGCTTCAGTACAAAATACCTTTAGTGTGGCTTAACAATGGTATATTAAAAACAAAAATAAAATTACAAATTTCTTGACTTTAGAGGTGTTATGACCATTAATATTACCTAATAACCACTCAGGGGACCTCTGACTTTTCAAATGACACCTCATTAGTGGAATTGCTTACATAGAAAAGTAGAAAAAGGGAGACTAACAAAAAAAAAAAATGCCTTAGAGAAATAATATATAAGATGTGTGCGCCCACCACTGTCGTATACGGTGTATGCGATGCTGCAGTCACAATAGTGCTTCAGTACAAAATACCTTTAGTGTGGCTTAACTATGGTAAATTAAAAACAAAAATAAAATTACAAATTTCTTGACTTCAGAGGTATATATTACCTAATAACCACTCAGGGGGCCTCTGACTTTTCAAATGACACCTCATTAGTGGAATTGCTTACATAGAAAAGTAGAAAAAGGGAGACTAACAAAAAAACGCCTTAGAGCAGTGGTCGGCAAAAGTTAAACTGTAACTGTGTTGGTGGAAACAAGAGAACTGCTCCGCATGAGCAACGCAGTAGGAAATTACGGAAGTGAAACAAAATTGTTTACTTATCGGTCTTCAATAAAAACATATAAATACATATATTTAACACATACATATGTACATATATTTGCATCGCTCATTTACTATAAAAGTAATCATAATCCCAAAAAAACAAAAATGGGGTTAAGTATGCAAGAATGAACATTAGGTCTT